TTGAAACGTAATTTTTTGCAAAAATACTTTAATAATGTAAGATATTAGGATTAAATTGTTCATTACAGAATTACAGAATATTGTGTAACAGTAATACAAAAAATTATTGCGGAATTATTGTTGAATGAAAAAATATTGTAAAATTTGAGGCACATAAGTTAGATTGAGTTCATAACTTTTTTTAGTGATTACTGACATGTGGATATATATGTTTTATAGGCATATTTATCTATATTACTATTTGTTATAATGAATCTTTTATTTCTATCTCATAAAAAATATTAACAAAAATATTTGTTGACATTTATAAACAAGATGGACGCCATTACTGTTGCAACGTTTTTTTTGTCAAAAAACTTTAAAAATAAGTTATTGACATTAAATTGAAGAGATAATCGAGTAACAGCTAATGCTAATAATTTGCGGAATTATATTTGAATAAAAAAAAAGTAAAATTTGAGGCATTCAGAGTTCATAAAGTTTTTAATGACACTGACATATGGATTTAATTAACAATTGAAAAATTTGACTTGACATTTATAAACAAGATGGACGCCATTTCTGTTGAAACGTATTTTTCTGCAAAAATACTTTAATAATGTAAAATATTGGGATTAAATTGTTTATTACAGAATTACTGAATATTGTGTAACAGCTAATACAAAAAAATTGCGGAATTATTGTTGAATGAAAAAAATATTGTAAAATTTGAGACACATAAGTAAGATTGAGTTCATAACTTTTTTAGTGATTACTGACATATATGTTTTATAGGCATATATATTTGTTAATGTAAACCATTTATCTATATTACAATTCGCCTGTTAGAACAATAAATATTAACAAAAAGATTTGTTGACATTTATAAACAAGATGGACGACATTACTGTTGCAACGTGTTTTTAAACAAAAATACTTTAATAAAATAAGTTATTGGTATTAAATTGAAGAGAAATCGAGTAATATTTGATGCTAAAAGAAATTTGCCGAATAATTTATATATATATAAGTATATTTTTTCAGAGAGCAAACCGAATGCAAAAGTACATTTTGTCAATTTTGAACCCTAGGCATTTTTTATAAAAGCTTACTGACATATGTATAAAAAAAATATTATTATTTTTTATCCTGTATCCTTAATATTATATAAACTATTGATTTATGGCTGTACTGATGATATTAATGACAAATAAATAAAAAGTTCTTAATAAAATTAACGAAAAGGATTTTGACTTGACATTTATAAACAAGATGGACGCCATTACTGTTGGAACGTATATTTTTTAACAAAATTGCACGTTATTTTTTTTTATTATTATTTATTTATTTCAGCCTAATGGCCTAGAAATACATCATTATCTTAAGCCACAATAATACCTTAAACCTACTTTATATACAAAAAAATGAACAGAAAAACCTAATCAGGGGGATCTAATAATTTTAGCGTTCTGGACTGGTTGCCCAAGTAACTCTTAAATTGCACGTTATTGTTATTAATTTTTTACAACAAATTGAGCAACGTCTAACACTAATTTGCAAAATTATTGTACGTTTTTTTTACTCAAATGAAAATTTTTTTCGCGACTAATGACATATGCATGTACGCAATTTTATACACATAAATCCTTAATTTCTACTAAAATTTCTTATTATCTATCCCACCTGTTGCGTCCGGAACAAAACTGAGAAGCGCCAATGTCGCCAAGAACGCGATCATAATCCAATCGGGTCCTGTCGATTTTATCCACATTCTAAACACCGACTAAATATCCTCATGGAATTAACATTAAAACTAACAATGTCCGATTGTCATAACACCACAACATATCACACAAACACAGAATTCAAACTTAAATCATACACAAAAATAATAGTATTATTTATCCTGTTTGCGCATCATTCACGACATCTTGACTTGACGGTTTAACCGCTCCGCCGAGATAAAGGTAAATGATAATTGAAATAAAGCACTTGAACACTAAATTACACTTTGTAACGTTACTAGACACTTTTTAGTTTATTACTAAATTGTTTTATTTGTTTAAAAGTGATTAAAATTGTGTAAAACGTTAACGAGATGTTGTCCTTTGCGCGTTCTTTTACACTATGAAGCTTTCGCGTTCGACGGCTACGGAAAGTAGTGCGCGCATTACTACAATATGGCCGCCGGTGCAACAGCGCGCGGTGCAAACGAACTTTTAAAAGCTCTTTTAGCAACCCAAAAACCAACTATAGGCACAAATAATTTCCAAAAATCAAATGTAATATTTATTATATTATTTTAAAAATGATTTTAGAAGTTGATATGAGTTTTAAATGTGTTATTTTAACGTGAGAAAATGGGTTTGTTCGAGGGACTATATTTTCGTCCAAACGCTTCGGAATGCGATTGGTGGGGAGGTCTCTTGAGGTCTCGACGACTCAAGCAGTATGTAACGTGCTAGTGGGGTGGATTGGAATTCAATTAATCGATGTAAAGAGTGCATCAATAGACCCCAAGATAACAAAATATCTGTGGATGATGTAATAATAATTTGAAATGTACTATGTTTTTGTTTCAGGAAAAAAAAATATGGTAGAGCTGATTTATGCATATCAAAAGTTCCCTTCTTAATTTTTTTGAATATTTTGATGAAAGTATTGAACAGTTATTAATATTTTTGTTATTAGAATTTTTATTGACTTTACATTACATTTATGTTTTCTCGACGTTTAAAGCCATTCTGGATCAAATGAGACTATTGAAGTGTGTGTGTGTGAACAGATGTTTGACTTTTCGTCGACGTTTTCTTAAAAATGGCTTGACCGATTTTAAAATTTAAAAATCATTCGATGTAGCTCGATAAGGACTAGAGTTTTTCAGTTTCGCATAAAGATTTGCCAGGCCGTTTCTTTGTTAATAGCAAAAGAATGAAAAAAATTTCGTCCACATTTTAGCCCGCAATTCTGAATCGATTACAAAAATTCAAAAACTGTTTGGGGGTTAACCATTATTCACATTAGGCTTTGAAGAAGGGGAGGGAAAAAAATTTATAAAAAAAACGAAATATCACAAGATTGAGGGAAGTTTAGTGAGGTATCATGCGTATTTATAATATCCCTAAATTTAAAAAAAAGTCAAAAATTATTCATATGATGTTAGGCTAGAGGTTGAAATGTCTACACGTATGGCATTAAGGAAGAGCTTTCAAAAATCCTTAAAAATGGATTACGTAATTAATGGATACCCCCTGGAAATAATAATGGTTAGGAAACATAAATATATGCCGCTTCTTTTCCTAGTAATTCTATGTCAAGTTTTCTTTAGCGTTTTTAACGAAACTTACAATGACGTTAGGGTTCATGGTCTAAACAAATATTCTTAACGATTATAGTCATACAAAAGTAGTTGAATCATAAAAATTCATCAAAGTTTCTAATAATGTGGTGCGCTAGGGCAACAAGCTATTTTTTAACGAGTGCAACCTGTTCACTATCGATGCCTTTGATAAATGTCTTTTAGTTTGACAAAAATCAAATTTCTTTATTAAAATAATTCCAATTCCATTAAGTCAATAATTAAACAATGAATTTAGGGTTATGTTGTCACGGCAACGCTATTTTATGCTTCTATCTTGGTACTAAAAACTGTGAAAATACTATATATTCAGGAATGCAGTAAAGTTAGGCCTTATTGTTAGACTTATGATAAATATGTATAAGGTCTATGCGCAAGGCGTATTAGATATTAAACTTAACATGAAAAACGCATGGACGCCAAAAAAATCTTCTTATAAGTTCATCTTTCTGATATGTCATAATAACATATGAGTGAAGTTGCAATTTATGTGTAAAAGCGCTTGATCGCAGCACAGCAACCGCATAGCATTTTGACAGATTTTAGGACCATTTTATATAAAAAACGCTTTACCATAAGATTGGTCTATTTTACAGCAGAATTTGCCCTTAATTAACTTCTTGTAGGGTAAGTTATAGCAATCGCAAAAAAAATCGAAAATGAAATTTTTTATTTATATCTATGTTTTAGAGATCTCATAACATTTTGGTATACCTTAGAAAAAATGGATGTTTATGTGTGTGTGTGCATCTGTGAGCAGATTCAATTTTTCGTCGACATTTTCGGGAACACGGTTCAACCGATTTCAATTATTCAAAAAACAATCGATTCCTATTAATAAAGAGGCGTGCTGATTAGTTTTTGGCAAAGGCAGGTCCAGCCGTTTCGATGATACTGTGCAAAAAGTGCCAAAAATGGTATTTGAGTTTTTAAGATAACGGAGCGTCCGATTTAACTAATTCAAATAAAATTTTACTTGTATTGACAAAATGAAGAACTGGTGAAATTTTTGTGAAGGCAATCTAGCGTTTCAAGAGATTCATTAAAAGAAGTAAAAATAATGTCATATGGCGGTCAAAAATGAACATTAGACATATGCACATCGTATTATCAGATATGTTATAAAGAATATAATGACGAGTACAAATTTTGTGTACATTTATAAGGGTTCCGTACCAATGTTTACACGTTAGACGACTACGCAGCGTTTACGCGCTCTGATATTTTGACTCTAAATTAGCTATGCAGCGCGATTGCTTAAAAAAATGTTCCAAATTTTCAAAAAAAATCAGAACATAAAAAAAAACTTTTCAAAAAAGTCAAAATTTCTCTGGAATCTAATTTTTTCAAAGTTTTGCAAAGTTTTTATTAATTTAGCTTTCGGTACGGGAAATTATAGCAATTAGCCATGAGACACGATGCTCTGCCCACTAGTTTTAAATCGATTAGCGTGGACACATCACTAAATTCGTATGTACTTGGCTCGGCTGGTACGAATAAACGAATAAACGAATAAACGGTGTATCGAAATGAACGAACATGGTCGGAGCATGGAGTAGTATCGAGTTGGAAAAGGAGGGATAAATAAACTGGTTGAAGTTGAAGCGAAAATAATAAAGGGACGAAACCGGTGCTCGGTGCTCGACGATGGAGACGAAAAAAAGGCGACCAACACACATAATATGCATGTACACATGCACATGCATATGCACATCGAACACCGACACATACAAATAATTACAGATAGATAGATATTAGATACATTTATCTATCTAATAGATAAAAGATAATGGAGATAAGGAGACTGCATTGCTAGGGGAATAGTTTTAGTAGATCTGCACATAAAATATAGATGTAAATGGTATTTTGCCTTAAGGCAAGTTGCATAAACATATTTTTATGGTACTCAGTCATCAGTATATTCATTTATGAATGATGAATTTATGATAATTATAGATACATTTATCTAATGAAAGATATTGCACTTGCAGATAAAAACAGTGAAGATAAGGTACAGACTGCATTGTCAAAAGAGTAGTTTTCGAAAATCTGTACATAACAAATTTTGTTTTAAGACAAGTTGCGTAAACTTTTCATACGTTAAAAATCGGCTTAATTAATAAAAAAATCTATATATTAATAAATGAGGCCCAAAGGTCTAATCTGATTTTGAACAATTATATTAAAAAAACAATCCAATTATGGAACCGATTTCGCTGCCTATGGGGTAAAAAGGATCAGGTGACAGTTTTTGAAAAAACAGTAAAAAAACACATTTCTACAATGATGATTTAGCTGGGCGTTGTACTGAACATAGTCAGATAGTTGTTTGTGTCATATTTGTTGCGATATATAGTTCGCTTCTGCCGTAAAATAGACTAATGTTACGTAGAGGCTATTTTACGTAGCATTTCTCATACAAAATGGTACAAAATACTGTCAAAATAGCACGTGGTTGCTGTGCAGTCAGGAGTTTTAGATAAAAAAAATCTAACCTACAAAACGCAAATGAAAAACAATGTTATCATAACTGCTTTTTATATGGAATGATAACATATGAGTGAAGTTGCAATTTATGTGTAAAACGCTTGATCGCACAGCAAATTCATAGCATTTTGACAGTATTTAGTACCATTTTGTATGAGAAGAACATTAGTCTATTTTACAGCAGACTGTATCACAACAAATAACAAATACGAAACAAACAACTATCTGACTATATTCAGTACAATTCCCAGCTAAATCATCATTGTAGAAATGTGTTATTTGCTGTTTTTTTAAAAAAAATTTCACTTGGCCCTTTTTACCCAAAGATACTGTAAAATGGGTCGACCAGGGGGCAAATAGCTCCAATGCTTAATTTTAAATTTTAAAGAAATTTTACAACATAATAGATATATTATTCAACCAATGCAAAATATATATTTTAATCATTACAGAGATAACACGGTAAATATAACCTTGATCTGGTATTTTGTCAGAAATATTCATCAGCAGAAATAATTATTTATTTAAATTATCTCTTGTAAAATTGCTTATTTTAACTTTATTTACTGTTTTATTTGCTATTTTTTATTTTTCACACCTTTTCCCAGATAAAGGTTCATTTAGTCCTTTTTACCCCAATCAGGTGTTAGTTTTTATAAAGGCTAAATAAAAAAAAACTAACTTAAAATTAACAACACATCTTATAAAACAATTAAATAACGTATACCTAAAAATTATAATAAGGTCTCGCAAACTAAACAACAGTGCTCACAACCAATACAAATAACAACGAAAGAAAATACTTTTGTTCTGGATTTTCAAACATTTCCGATAGCGAAGCAGTAAGAATCAAGGTGATAGCTGACTACATAATTTTTGCCCTCTACTTTCAAATATTGTTGTTAAAAAAATCTTAACTCTACTTGTTTTTGAGATATCGGTGGTGGATCTTTTTAATAGTAGTAGATAATAAATAACTTACCCCACCAAAAGTTAATAAAAAAGGAGAGTAGATAATAATTATTATTAACAGTAATAAATTTATATTAATTTCAATAATTATTTATACCA